AAAAAAAAAAAAAAAGAAAGAAAGAAATGTATAGTGGACTTGAGAGCCAGTGAAGTGATTTTTAATTTTCTAAATAATTTTAGAAAAAAAATATATAGGTATTTGAGACAGAACCTTAAGCTGTTGCCCTGGGTAGAATGTTGTGGCATCACAGCTCACAGCAACCTCCAACTCCTGGGCTCAAGCGATTCTCCTGCCTCTGCCTCCCAAGTAGCTGGAACTATAGGCGCCCACCACAACGCCCGGTTATTTTTTTTGGTTGCACTCATCATTGTTGTTTGGCGGGGCCAGGCTGGATTCGAACCTGCCAGCTCAGGTGTATGTGACTGGCGCCTTAGCTGCTTGAGCCACAGGCGCCGAGCCAAAAAATTTATTTTTCGAGATAGATTCTTGCTCTGTTGCTCAGGCTGGAGTACAGTGATGTCATAGCTCACTGAAGCCTTATATTCCTAGGCTCAAGCAATCCTCCTGCCTCACTCTCCTGAGTAAGTGGGACTACAATGTCAGCACCACCTGGGAACAGGTTAGAAATGAAAATTCTTGGGCCCCACCCAAATTCAACTCGTCACAAACTCTGGGTGGGGCGCAGCATTCTGCTCTAGCAAGTACTCCAGAGACACAGGTGAGCTCAAGGCTGAGAACCACTAGTGAAGAACGCCCCCATTCTCCCTGTGTGCCCATCATGGGCATGAAATTGGAGCAGAAATTGACAGTCATGTTGCAACCCAGAAGGTGACTGTGTTTTTTTCTTTTTTTACTTTTGAGACACAGTCTCACTTTGTCACCCTTGGCAGAGTGCTATTGGCATCATAACTCACAACAACCTCAAACTCTTGGGCTCAGGCGATCCTCTTGCCTCAGCCTCCTGAGTAACTGGGATTGCAGGTGTGCCATAACACCTGGCTCATTTTTCTATTTTTAGTAGAGATGGGGCTTGCTCTTGCTCAGGCTAGTCTTGAACTCCTGAGCTCAAGCAATCCACCTGCTTCAGCCTCCCAGAGTGCTAGGATTACAGGTATGAGCCACTGTACCGGCCTATGACTGTGGTCTTTAAAGATACATATTTTTGCCTGGCAGTTGCTCCTTATCCCAAGCTGATCACTTCTTCCAATATCTGTTCAGTGCTGTTGGGCACTCTGGCTGAGCTTAACTTAGCATTACGTTGTACATGTTGTACAGTATTGTTTTATGGGCTATTT